GTTCTCATTGAGTCTGTGCCCTGAGCTGTGACCTCCACAAGTGTGTCTCTTTTCCCCACCCCAATTTGGGTGAGACAGAAGGGATTTCCCTTCTCCCAGGTTGGTTAGGCTCTGGTAAAATAATTTTTCATTAAAAAAACAAACAAAAAACAACTACCCCCAATGAAACAGAATGTTCTGGGTGTATTTCAGTAGAGTTATTTTCTCCTTTCCAGGCAGGAAACATGAGGAGTTTTCCTCTGACCTTCATTCTGAGAACAGGGTAAGGCCCTGGCGGTAAAATGCATGAAAAAGAGCAGGGGGTCCCTCTGACTGGCCCCCTGGAGTTGTCACACTCAGATTTCCCCACGCTGAGACTCCCGCTGGCCTCAGGGACCTGTTAAATCTGCCTGCCCCCGGGGTTCTTACAAAAGCGGGTCCTTCCCTGGGAGCTGTGACTCTCCAAGCCTGCCCGGCTGCCTCTATGGGTTGGGAGCAGCTTTCCCCCTCAGTTTCCTTATGGATCTAAGAAGAGCAGTGGGTTTTCAGCTCCCTCAGCTCTGGTATTTTTTTAAGGACAGAAGGAGCAACTGCTGAGCTCCTCACAAGCTGGACTAGAGGCTGCAAGCCTCCCCTCCTCTGCCTCCATGCAGACAATCAGTTTCTGTGGTTCTAGCCGAGTTTCTGAAGATCTGGATTTAAACACAGACATCCCAGCCCCCACAGGATCACACAGTCCAATAAATCCCTACAACTTCCACTGGTAACTACGGAGCTTATGAGGACATGGGTTTTGGGGCTCAGGGGCCTGACTGCACGACTTGCTCCGTGGACTATTTATGTGGTTGTTCTGGGCCTTGTCTGAAGTGGCTTGCTTACTATATCTGGTACTTGGGAAATATAAAATAAGTATTAGAACCTCCACTGTTTCTCCCTTTTGGGCCTTCCAACCTAAAAAGTAATAAGTGAACTCAGACGGTATAGTCACCATAATGAGGTCAGACCACCCTGGCTCTCCTGAGTGACCGGCACTGACTTGCACCTTAACTCGGAACAGTAGGGGAACCGCCTTCCTCTAACAGGGCCTCCCCCCACACCAGGCACGCCCTCAGCTGAGACGGGGCCAACTCCCCCACTGAGGTGTGTGCTGGTGGCTTCAGTGTGACCTGGCCCTGTCGGGACACGAAACTGCATTGAGGTGGAGGGTCAGGAGGAGGGGGGTCCCTGCTGGGGCAGCAGGGGGCCTGGTGACACCCTGCCCAGCCTGGTGCCTAGGGCTCCTCAACATCTCCTACGGCCCCCGGGTCGGCTCTGGTCTGGGCAACTGCATGCACCCTCCCAGTATCTTTTCATTAAGTCCCTTTTTTGCTTTTATCAGACAGAGGTGGCTTCTGTTGCTTGTTAAGTGAAACAGTGCATCAGGAAACCAGACTATTTCTAAGGTCAGTAAAATACCAACTTCCGTCAGTCCGCCGGGCAGACCGTGCTGCACAAATTCCCGCACAGGGCTGTGCAAATGCCTTACGTGAAGGGTCCTCATCATCTGTCTTCAGAGATACAGAAGATGGTGGTTCAGGTAAAACCTCA